CTTTAGAATTGTTTGGTCCCAAAAAGCCACCTTTCATTTCAGTAGGCTGACGCATTTTTTTCTCAAGTCTGGAAAGCTGAAAATATCAAAATGTAAGAAGAAAGATATTACAAAGATGTTTTTGACATATCACTTGGTCCATTTTATTTTCCATTCTATTCTAAAGTATATGATTAATACATTCTACTGTAGAGATTGTGACTAAAGTAAAATTAGTATATATAAATAAAAACCTCAATGGGAAAAGACATGTTAATCTATAATTAGAATGATATATTCATAATCTTTCAGAGCCTTACTTCATCAACCGGCTTGAAATCAGCTTTCCAAATAATTTTAAGAAGCATATTTTTCAATTAGCTATTTGGAAAAAACAAAACAGCTAAACCCTAGAATACCTCTTCATCTGTAGAGAGAGATCTACTGCCGATGCTGCTTCTTGCTGAGTCTGCTTTCTTCGGAGATCCCTCAGTGTCTCCAGTTTTCTTTGGGGATCCTTCTGAACTTTTGCTTTCAACACTGTCTGTTCTTTGTGGGGGCTTCTCTACACAGTCTTTGTTCATTTGGGAAGTATTTACAGAGGAGCTTTCATCAATAGGGCTTTTCTTTGGTGCACTGTCTACATCGTCTGTTTTTTTTGTCTCTTGTTCTGGTTTAGAGCTAGCAGTTGGAGTCTGGGGACTGCGAGACTTTTTCATATAACGAGCATACTGGAGGCTTGTAAAAAGAGCTGCTGCTTCATCACGTAATTCATCACTGTAACATTCTTCATCCCTGAAAATACAACATCAAAATTTTCTATGCTATCCCACAACACAACCTACTTCATATCCAAGTGTCTTATATACCCTTTCAGTCTAAAGAAGTCTCTGTATTCTAAAAAATGAAATATCACATTCAATCTTAAAAATCAACAAAATTTCAAGGAAATTCTCATAATGCCATCCTTTTTCACAAAAGATAAATACAAATCTTTAAAAATCTTACTCTGTAACTGCTTGCAGTGATTCAAGTACACCAAAAGTGTTTGCTAATGATTGTCTGCATTCTATAGCTTGTGCAATAAGGGATAATGTTTCTATTGCGGCCTTCACCAATGACCCTTCTCCTTCCGCCACAACATATGCCAAAAATTGGATACACGTACGATCCTGTTCAAAAGAATTTTAAAATGCTTCAGTAAAAAAAAAAAGAAAAAGAAAAAATTAATAAAGTTTTCTTTTCCTAATTACATTAACATTAAACTCCTTCATATACTCTAATAATCATGAAGGTAAATGATATTCCAAAGGAATCTACTTACTACTATGGAACAATATCTTGATACCAATCATTGTCCATTCCTTAACCAATTAAACTTTTGAAAGAACTCAACTGTTTGAAAAGACATACCAATGCTAGTGCTAATCGCTTGCCAGGATCAGAAGCCAGTTCTTTGTAGGCCATGATGGTGGCCTCTGCAGCTGCTCCCAACTCTATTTCCCCCATGATCCTGCCTGCACAAAAGACATTCGCAGAGGTTTAAGGACTGTCTTGGCTGAGACTTAAGGAGAATTTGAATTTTCAACCCGAATGAGATGAATGCTGTTTTCCATTACCTTAGGGTAGATGTAGATCATATGCGAATATTAGGCCTGAACAAAAAAAGGAAGAAGTGTAAGAAAATTGTAATCCATCCATTACATGCTTCCTCAAAAATATATAAAAACTACACAAATCCTATTCATACATAAATAAGCAGTGTAATGCTTTAATATTCATGATATTTTTGTCAAAATGAGCTAACTTCACATTTGCATACATGCATTCATACATGTAAGCACATAATGATGAAACACTGCTTACGTGGTGTTCACATGTTTTTGACAATGCAAGACATTTCCCATGATGTTATATATATATATATATATATATATATATATATATATATATATATATATATATATATATATATATATATATATATATATGTGTGTGTGTGTGGTGTGTGTGTGTGTGTGTGTGTGTGTGTGTGTGTGTGTGTGTGTGTGTGTGTGTGTGTGTGTGTGTGTGTGTGTGTGTGTGTGTGTGTGTGTGTGTGTGTGTGTGTGTGTGTGTGTGTGTGCATACATATATACATAAATACATATATATATGGAAGAAAAACCCACAATGCACAAACTAGATTTATTGAGGAAAGTGAAATAACTCAATAAAAATGGTTGTTTTAACAGATAAGTAAAACAAAAAGTGGTATGTGTAAAATATAACCTATTATCGCAGAATGTATCTGTTTACATTATAATAAGTCTCCTTGTTTATGCACATCAGCATTATGTTTGGTTAAGCAGTGGTACTCTGCCATTGAGACAGGTTCAGAATATATGTGTTAGGAAAATCTATACAAAATTGCAAAAATTGACAGAAAATGTGATAGTGTGATAGAGCGTTTAAAAGACCTTGTCACACATTGCATACACATCACTGTTCCTGTACCTGTTCAATTCACTATTGCTGCTTG